ATTAATGCGTGACAACCTTCAAAGCAAATTAAAACTTATTTGAATAAAACTTGTCTTCTTTAGAAGCAGAGATTGTTTAGTAGACACTAAAAGATGAGGTGGTTGTCCAGTCGATCCAAATTATGCCTGGAAGTCAAATACTCGAGTTTGACTAAACCATCTGAAAAAAATATATCGGCATAAAAGAATACATCAAAGTGCCAAAAAAGCCCTGGAGTGTATTCAAAAACTAAAAGTTACAAAAAAAAATAACTTCATGTTTCTGTTAATGATTAATATATCTTGGTCTAACTAAGTGTCAAACTAAGGAACATTTTGTATAAATTGGATACTTCGCATAAGAAAACTTGCGTAAAAAAACTGTTTCTGGTATACTTTTGACTATTTTATTCGAAATTTAAGCAACGAACTTTTCAATTCACTTTACGTTGCTCAGGAAAAGCATACGTTTATCAGTAATCAACAGCGGATTCAAGGCGAGGGGGTCGGACGCCCCTCCTCCCCTTAGGGATTCCGCCCCTGTCGACCCAAAGATTCCCCTTTGTACTAATTTGAGATACATATTTCTGGCTGACGAACCCTAAAATTTTTCTTAAGGCGCCAATATTTACTAGTTTTGAGGCGGGAGCGGGCGCCAAAAAAAACACAATTTTTTAGTCGACAATTTCCAAAAATTGCCTGATTACGTTTTTTTGGCCCGTTTTTTCAAAAACTTAGCCTGCGGCAAAGAAAATGTAGTCAAAATTGGTTTTTATTGTGATTTGAGAGAGCTCAGAGAATCATTTTTGCCGATCTAATAAAAGGTCGACAAAAAATTCATTTTTTAAAAATCCGTAGCCCCCCTCGAGAAAACACTAGATCGGTCTCTGTCAGTACTTAACCTAAAAATTTGTAGCTATGGATGATATATTTGCTTAGTTTCTTCGAAAAAAGCGTAAATATGGGCTAATTTTTTCAGAGTTCAGAGTTTTAATCATTAAATTAAAAAACAATTTTTTATCCAATGTTTTCTCGCCCTTCTTCATTAATCGAAATGTACCTCACTCGAAATGAAAAAAAATAAATGCGACTCTAGTTTAATTTTTGTCGAAAACTTGATCTTTGCTATACCATGGAAAAAAAGGCTCAGTAGTAGTTGATACAGCAGTTGTTCAAAAATTTGAAATGTCTGATGCCGAACAAAAAAAGAAATCTCCTTCAAAAATACCGTAAATAACGTCAAGTTTCGCCACGAACGCCCGTAGCTTGACACTTTAAGTCTTAAATTTATGCCTCTTCTGACTGTTTTTGCTACTGGAATTTGAAAAATATCGAACAGGGGTAGAACACTTTAGACTTTTCAGACTGATTTTCAGCGACGGAGTTAAAACAAAACATTAACAAAAACAAATCACCAATTTCTGTTTCAAATTTTGATTTTGTTACTGGCGTGAGGTACTTTTATCCCATTTGGAGCGTTATTCACGACCCAAACAAACGGTAGAAAAACATCACTCATTACATATATTTTTAATACCTAAAACTCTAATACCGTTGTGAGACTCACCAACAGAAATACCACATGATCGCTGCCCAGAGAATATTTAATCTAAATAGAATTCGGAATTAAATCATTTCTACTAAGTTATGTACGATTGACTGTACTCATAGAGTAAATTAAGATAAAAAACACGGTCTGCTCGTCACGCTATCTTATTTTCGGCCGGATAGATTGGTGCAACTTTTTAGTCTAATATCAATCTTAATCTCACTCTTATATCTCCTAGTCTCAATAGATCTAGTGTATACTGGTTTATGAGTGTTAGTTTTCTAGAAGGAGAACAACTATATTCTTAGTTTAATTCAAATTGCTCTGGTGCTGAAACTGCAAGTAGTTTCAGCACTTACAAATAAGTGCAACTGTTAGTTATGGAATATGATTGGTTAGTTAAGAATATTTTATAGAATTAGAGGTTTATATTTATAACCAATTATAAATTCTAGTTTAGAAATGGTTACACTACAGTTTCCTTTTCAATTGTGAATCATGGTATTTCCAATTTTGATCAAGCGAATCAGTTTCCGTGAAAATTGGTATATGGGTTAAAACACTTTTTAATTATTTTGTGTTACTTTTTATGTTTTTCTTTTTTTTCAACTTTGCAAACACGTAAAATATAAAATAACACCGTAAAACTTGTGTTAACAGTTAACATCTGGTGGAGTTTGGTAGATCAGTCAAGAATTAATCATCTCACTCTGAGTAAAAACAAACACTGATATGGTTTTGTGCGAAAGTGTAGAAAATTGTTATAGTGAAAACTATTTGCTTCATAAATATTAACAACTCTGTCATTTTGGTAATTTTGTTTGAATTTTTAGAGCTCTAAAAGTTTTTACAGCACTGCAGCAATTTATAACCCCTCCCAAAGAATGTTTTGAAAATGACAGTTTAGGAGTTCAGATTTAGTTTTTGTTATTAATTTTTGTTAGGGTAGGGGTGTCTACAATGGAAAAGAAGCTACTATTTTTCATGCGCAGTTTGCATTTATTTCAGCCTTAAAAGTCAACTCTGGGTTAAAATTTAGCTCAAAACTAATAAAACGGGAGCTCAGTTTAAAAAAATTATTAGGCAATGACATTTTCGTAGAGCCATTGTTGTTTTCCCTTAGATGATCAAACGCATTAAAATTTACAAGTAGTTTGTTTTTTGCTCAAAGTTTTTTTTACCATGCACGAGCGTGCTATGCCGCCAGGCCCGGTGAAAAAATCTACCTCTCTTTTCAGTGCAAAATACTTTTGAAGGTGAAGTCCAGGAGAACCCAAACGATTTTTTTAACTCAAATCAATTCAACTGGATGGTTTTTTTGTGATTAGAAAAGCGACAGTTCGTCGCAAGGCGTATACATGAGGATTTTCTTTTTCCCAAAACAATTCATTTGATTTCCCAAAACAATTCATATGAAATCCCATGCCCGGAAAGGCATGGTATTTGCGTATGTGCATTTCTAAATAAATTGGTTTTGAGTTAATTCAATAATTGTACTTATTTTGAGATAATTTAATAATTGTTTTGTCGAATTGCTGTGCGACGAAATGTGGCTTCTTTAAATCCTACCAATTGTCTCTTGCAACCAACTTTTGCTTCACGGGTTTTTTGAGATTATTGAAAGTGAGAGTTCACGATTGGAAAAAAAACGTTACATTTTCTCGTTCCTAGTCCTCCAGATTTTGAAATTTTTTTAAGTCAACAAAATTCATCTTCCGAGCTCTCTCAAAACGTTAATATTCCTAATCTGCCATAGAGATGATCCTTTTCGATCAAGCAGGGTTATCTTGTAAGCCATGCAAGATTTTGAAAATGAGGGTTATCTCGCAAGATTCTTGCAAATGAGGGTTATCTTGCAAGATCTTGCAAGATGGAGGTTAACCTCCAAGATTTCGCAAGAATGAGGTTTTTTGCAAGATCTTGCAAGATAACCAACTCTGAAACTTTTCACAAAACCTCAATCTGAAAGCCAAAAAAAACTATGGAGCTCCAATTTTACTACGGTCACAAAAAATTGGAAAAACATTACGAAGCCAAACTGTGCACTGGATAGGAGCACAATTTTGTGTAGGTTTGTTCCTATATTCCAGAGACAAGTATTAAAATAAGCTCCAAAATGTAAGTGGATTCCACAAACAAAATTTTAGTGGATTCCACATGCATATACCTGTAACGTAATTTTTGTCGGCACATTTGTTTTGTTGCGGATTCTGCAACAAGCAATTATAGCTAGTTGTTCTGGATTCCGCAACTGTAAGTGGATTCCGTAAAAAGTATGATTTAAAAGATATGATTTTAAAAGCTACTACACATATAAATATATGCAAAGGGAATCCGCAAACAAAATACGGATTCCACTTACATTCTGCGGACTCCACTTATAATTTGCGGATTCCACTTACAGCTGCGGATTCCGCAACAGCTCAATTTAACGATAAAAATGTTTTATCATTTGGTTGTGGATTCCACAAACTGTTCTGGATTCCGCAAATGCAGTTGCGGATTCCGCAAATTCGCCTATTTTTCGAGCGATTTTGAGCGGTACAATGATTTAGGTATTTGTTTGTGGAATCCAAAACAGCATAGAAGATCAAAGAAAAGTTGCAATTTTGCGGATTCCGCGACAAATCTGATTTTGGCCTGTTGCGGGTTCCGCTTACAATGCAGAGAATGCACAGTTTGACCTTGTAATGAAAAGTTAGGGTAAATAAACTTTAAAATGTTTCTTAAATTTTTTGATTTTTCATTTTCCGTAGTGTAAATAGTCTCAAGTTGTCGTTATAATTTATGCATTTCAACCTAAAGTTTTTCAAAAACATTTTTTTGACTTCATTGCAATGTTTCAACTAGTATTGCAACTCTAACGGCTAAGCTTCAATTTTTTGTTTCTTTTGTCAAAACTTTGATGAGTAGAGTGAGTCAATTAGCTTGAGATATTTTGTATAATTGTATAAATCCGATAAATAATTATGTTCATCTTTTTACAAGGTTATATTTTTCTTTTTAATGCTGATTTATTCAAGTATTTAAAAGTTTCTACTTGCGACTGCTAAAATGTCTACTGGTAAAAAAATTTGCTTGTCTTCTTGTGTAAAGTTTTTTTTCACAAAAAAATTTGTGTCTTTAAGATCTGTTTAGAATTAGGGTTATCTTTAACGGAGGTTGTCTTGCACGATTTTGCAAGATAATCTCCCTTGATCAACTAGGGGAGTCTTTTGGGAGGCCAAAAAGTTGAATCCCAGAAAAGGATGTCTAAACCCCCCCTAAAATCATAAAATCAGCTCCTGATGGTTATGCTTTTTTCTCCACGCATATGTTAACTCAACCATAAATAGTTTTGGTGACTGGTTATTCAATCCTTTTAAAACAGAGTAACAAGGCATGTCCAATAGATGACTTTCAGCAGCTTGTTTGATCGAGCTGAGCTTAAGCAACTTAATTGATTAAACAAATCTTGGGTTATGCTATTTTATTTACTCCTGCATAACTCTTCATCAGTTTCGTAATATAATTAAATTCAGCACAGCTGAGCACAATTAAGTTCTTGGGTTTAAACTTGTTCAATTTCAAGATGCAATCAAAATTCAAAACTCCCGATCCTTTTACGTTAGAAGGCGTCAACTTTGAAGGCCCATCAACGATTCAGTCAGTTCTCGCAACTCGAGATTTCCAGGGAAATCCTTCCGACATCCACTTATCAACTTACCCTAGATCTGGGACGACTTGGACTTCAAAAATTCTAATAGGAATGGTATATGGAGCCGATTTTCTGCAGAATGATTTTGTTTTTGCTGAAGTTTTTCCTTATTTGGAGTTTGATTTGAACGGAATAACTGGGCTGAAAAACGCAGAAAAAGTAACAAAAAGTCCAAGAATGTTCAAAAGTCATCTTCCGTTGCATTTAGCAAACCGTGAAATTTTTTCAATGAGTAAAAAAAGCATAATATTGGTTCGAAATCCGAAAGACGTGGCACTGAGTTTCTTCGAGTTCTACCGGAAAAGTTTTCTCCTAAAACGTTACTTGAAGTCGCCAGATATTTCGGATTTTCTGGACTCGTTTTTGGAAGGAAAAGTAAACTATGGAAGCTGGTGGAACTGGACTTGCAACTGGATTCAGCATTGCAGGTTTTTTTTTTTCATTTTTGTATACGAACCAGGCCTCGAAAAACAAATATACCAACAGAATTTTTGTTAAAAAGGGTTTGGCACGCTTTTTAACTAAAAACTGGAGCTAAATTGTAATTAATTAATTGCTATATCAACTACATTTTTTTCTTTAAGGAACTTTTTCAACAGAGAATAAAACAAGAAAACAAAAAACCAATCCTTTCGGTAATTTTTTAGTTATCAACCGTTTGAAAGAATTAAGTTGCTCCAAAGTTATTGTTTTCAGATCTCACCGAGATACCAACTTGATTATACACTACGAAGACCTACAAACCAACTTCGAAGAAACAGTTCGTTCTTTGAACAGTTTCTTGCAACTCCCTCAAATGTCAGATTCCATGATTGACAGCTTGAAAGAACTGACGTCATTCAGTAAAATGAAGGAGAAAACCGATATAAATAAGAATACTAGAGATATGAGCGAAGTCAATATTGGAGAAACTCGAAGATGGGCATCTTTTTTCCCTGATGGCTATGCTGAGAAGTTTGACGAAAAAACTATCAAAGCTTTTGAAGGAGATCAAATAATTGAGAAGTTTATTTGAATTCAGTTTGGAGTTAAAGGTATTTTAAAACTCGGATTGTAACACGTTAGTTTTGTGTTCTATTATCCTGGGCGTTTTGAGGGTCGATTTTTTTCCAAAACTGACAACAATGGAACGGGATCCATTTTATTATCAAGTAAATATAAAGTAAATTATAAAGTAAATAAAAAGAATTTAGATCAATTTTCAATTGATTTGAAATGATCCTATTTTCAAGCTTAAAATTTCGATTTCAATTCATGTTTTGTTTTTTTTAAATGGGTTCGATTTTTTGAAACTTGAAAGCAAACTGAATCAGACTTATTCAAATCAATTCAAGTCAATTTTAATCTATACTTTTTATTTCAAATCATTTTATACCAATGAAGATTTCCTTGTTTTGTTCCTCTCTTTATTAATTTGACTAATTTGGAACCATATAAGATAAATTATTTCTGCCCCGTTTCGGCTTCGAGGTAGATCGGTTTTGGGTAGCTAGCTGATTGATAACATTTCATTTCATGTGTAAATTAGCCGTAATTATCGGAAGTTACCAGTCAACAAATTATAACGAACTGCCATAAGCTTCGGTTTTTGAAAGCAGAATTCAATGTCATAGAATACGCAAAAATTAAAACATTAATAAATCATTTTAAAACAGCGCCTGAAATACTTGTGAACTTTGTTTCGATCTTTTAATTGTTTTATTTTTTCCACTGTTCTTCGTTCACTAGAAAATTTATTAATTACCACCTTGGTTTTTCTCGCTATGATTTCTAGCGAGAACTTAAATTATGCTGATCAGTTAACTTTGAATGCTGATATTTGAGCTGAAAAAAAAGAATAAGACGATAATTAGGTCCGATTTTTTTTGTGGGAAATTAAACCGTGCCATTTGTGAGTTTTCTAGTTTAAGTTTAAAATTGGACTAAAAGTATTGATCTTAACAAGGATGGTTGAAGAAATTTTGATAACTTTGACATTTTAATTCCGAAAAAAAGTTTTCAGAGTAAACAATTTAAGAGAGATCCACGAGAAATTAATGAAGAAAACATCTCCTCAAGTAAATGTAAATCACTGTGACGTTGAACAAACTTTCTAGAGCGTACTTTTTGCTCAAAATTTGGAGCAAAAATAAGAGTTAATAAATTTGAAAATTGAACCAGACTGCTCGTATCAGGGTGAAGCCCTGAATGTTCCGACTGTCTTTTATGATCTATGGAGCAGTAATAACATTTAAAAAATAAATGTAATAAAAAATGAAAAACTTTTCATTTTTCTCACAACATTTATGGCAAAAAGCTTCTTTCAACCATTCTGAATCCATTTCTAAGACGGATTAAATCTCCGCTTACGTGTTAATAGCGCGAATTGTATCGCGTGTTAGATGTCCCAAATTGGCCAAAATGGCAACCTGTAAACCCCCATAACTTTACAAAAAATTGTTACAGGGGAATTTTTTTCAAATCTGAGCTCCAAACTAAGGACAACATTGCCTCTTGAATGATATAAAAAAATTCCGCCAGAATTTGAAATTTGTCCGAAGAAGAAAAAGCTGCATCCGAGCAGAGCACAAATAGTCCGTTACTTTCGTTACGACACTCAAAATAATTAGACTAGAAAACCGATTTTTTCTAGACCGCAAAAAAAATTTTTTTTAGAGACTTTTGTTGTTTTTAGTGTTAGGCCAAAATCCATCTAAACCGATTTGTGTCAAATTTTAGACACTAAAAGCAATCTTTTCTACGAAAGTAATACAGTTAAAATTCGTCAAAAATTGATCAACGTAAGAAAATGGGCTGTATATTACAGAATTCCATATCTTGTATTAGCTCTAAAAAATCAATTTATACTGATCTTAATGTATTTTTGTCAGTGGAGGAGCTCAAAATAAAACCTTAACAATACTGAGCAGAAAGGTTGAGCTGAATTGTGGTTGATCGAAGTTGCTCAAATATGTCCGGTTTTTTTTTTGAACCCAGGTATATGATCTTGCATGTTCGAACTCAACCTTGCTTATGGTTGAAACATGTGATCGAAATGAGTTAAAATGTTGCAAACCATATTCACCCGGGTTGACCTCCATAGACTAAAAATACTAGTCATACAAACCCATACACTAAGTCAAGGAATAAATACTAATCATACAAACTTCAGACATTTTGCTAAAATGGTGTCATCGAATTCTCAAAGAATTTTTTTCATGTTTTGTCTTAAAAGTCGGTGTATCGTACTAATTAAAAAAGAAAATATGGAAATTATATGACTAGCATTTTTTGATACAAGTATTTTTCCAAGTAATTTTGAAATTGCCCCAAAAACTATTTTGTTTTTTTTTTCAACCGCAAATCGAATTTGATACCCTAACAAACATTTTCAAAAAAAAATGTATGAAAAATTTGATTTTTTGTGCGCATAAAGTAGTCCTGGATCCACGAAAAAAAAAATGTTTTTTTTTGTTTCTCTGGATAGCTATTTTTAAAAACGCTAAAAACTCTTATTTTTCTTAAGGCTATTTATGTATGCCTTTATCCTTGTCTGATAGTTTAAAAATCAAATTTTTACCAATCACAAGTCACAAACACATCCCAAATATTTTGTGAAATTAAATTGTAAAAAAAATCAATTTCTTGGTATATGGGAGAATGCTTGTCATACAACATTGTTGTTGGGCGTGCCTTACCGATTGATTTTCAGAATTCTGTGGTGCAGCAGTTGCATAAACATACCGCACACATGCAAGTTTCAAACAAGCACTACCCGGGATGAGCTCACTTGAAAAATTATTGATAAAAATTGAGAAATACATCGATCGCCATCGATGAATGATCGATGTTCATTGCCACAATAGCAAACTTTTAACGATAGGCTAATTTGGCTAATTTTCAGCGAGGAAACAGCAATAAAAATTCTGTCAACATGAGTAAAATAATTAAACTGCCGGGATTCGATCACGCAACCATCTACTTTGCAGTCATGTATGCTACCTCCAGGCGCGGATATAGGAGTTTCTCGAGGGGGGCAGATTTTCAAAAAAAAATTGAAAATTTTGTCAACCTTTTTATTAGGTCGACCAAATTGATTTTCTGAGCTCTCCCAAAACACCATAAAGACCCTAATTTGACCAAATTTTTTAAAAAAAAAAGGCGTTTTTTGGAAAATTTCGAGCAAGAAGTCGCGTTTTTTTAGCGCGCGCTCCTCCCTTAAAATTAGTAAAAATTAGCGCCGAAGTCGCCTTAAGAAAAAATTTAATAGTAAAAAGGGGGTTCCGTTGAGTTAGCAGCCCCTCCCCCCTTCCTAAATCCACTAGTGGCTACCTCTATGCCACCAAGTCTTAGATAATCTCAAGTTTTAAGGCTTATCAACTCATACTCTCTCTCACTTGAAAGCTACTAGATTGAGTTAGAATTTCTTAAGCGTTAGCGGAATCATTACTAAAATAGCTCTGAAATATCGCAGGTTTAGTTATGCGAAAATCTCTAATTTATACATGAATCAGCGCTGGAAAATAACGATCACTGGGGTACCACAGAAAAAGCGATGATTAATGGCGGGACTTCAACCCGGGTAGTTTAGCAATACAAGCAAGAGAATGCAGGAGTTTTTGGGTAGGAGCATCCTTTATCCATTTTGTATGGTCCTTTAATTTCTGGAAAAAAATGGTTGAAACAATTGAGAAAGTTGACAAAAAAACAAACTGTTCAAAAATTGGAAGGAATTTTTTCTCCTTTTTGAATACGTCTCAATATTTTAGAACTAAAACACAACATGCTACGTGGTATACAGCATTTAGCGAACAACATACAGCACGCTTAAAACAATTTTTTAGTGGCTCGATGCAACTTTAAACTGTGCACCAGAGAAAGCTTAGTGTTCTTAGTGTGTTTTAGATGCTGTTCTTTAAAAACGCAGTGCACAAAAAAATGCAAACTTTTTCTAAACTGTTTGTGCTCTTCTAGTGTTTTTTTTTCAAAATCATTCCAAACATCGATAAAATGGTGAAAACAATCATTCGAGATATAAAAACAATATCAATCATTCAGGATTTGAGTTACGAAGCAACAACAGACAGGACACTCTGATGATTTAAGCTCAAAATTAAAGAATCCTTGCAAAAAACCATCGGTCACTGTAATTTTTTCACTTTCAAGCAGTGTCTAGAAGCTTCTTAGATTTCTTGAGGACGGGTGGTACAAATTTGATAGTTGGGTCCCTGGAAAAATAATTAAGAAAGATGGGTCCGGTTATATTTGAGAAAATTTCAAAAACACGAAAAAAAGTTGCTCACCAGCGTTCGGAAGATGGTAGGCTTTAAAAATTCTCGAGGGATCGTCGAAATTTTAGGGACTCAACTATTATACTTGTAGCCGACGGGTTTTGTGAATCATGGCGTGTAAGCAATGGTTGCTGGTTCTAATTATGGCCTTCATATTCTCTTTTCTTGCAGTTGTGTTTGGAATTCTCTCTCTGATGGACTTCATGATTTCGGTGGAGGGCATCAGCGAAAGTGACGCCTCTCTTGAAGCGGGATACGGGTTCTTCAAGTTGTGTGTGAAAGGGAAGTCTGCCAGTGGAACCACAGATGTTGACACTTGCGATAAAACAAAAAGTTAAAAACTTACAGCTAGACTAGCAAAAAGCAGCCAAAACATATTTGTTGCGCCATGTTGAACCAGACATGCAGTAGCGTGCTGCTGGAGGGCGAAAGAACTACCAACCCCCCCCCCCCCCCCCCCCCCCACCCCAATTCTGGTTGCTTTATGACGTCCAACTTTTGGACGTCCAACTTTTGGTTGCTTTATATCCCCAACTTTTGGTAAGCTTTATGACGTCCATTTTTCGCTGAACAACCTCAAAATTTTCCTTACGGAGCCTTTGGCGCCAAAATGGCTAACTTTGAGGGAGGAACGCCCCCCCCCCCCCCCCCCCGAACGATACTGCAGACATTCAAAAAGAAAAACAAGAATTGTTACTGTTATCGTACTAATTCATCGAGTCAATTTTTGAACAATTTCTCTTTTTTATTTGAAACTCAAATTTTTCAAATGCTTTCAATAGCATGCTTAGAAAACGTTGAAGTGTGATCTCAAAAAAATT